GGCCGAGTGAGGAGGGCTGCAAAGTGACTGAAGGGCTGAGCCCAGAGGCTTGTGATCAGGCCGTGGCCAGAAGGGAAAACAGATGGAATTCCATGGGCAAAGAAGGAATTGCCAAATTTGCATTGGCCTTTTTCCATGTGAGGATGGTCAATTGGTGGAAGAGGTTGTGGGGTCTCCTGGTGGCATCTACTGAAAACCCAACTGGGCATGTTTAGGACAAGCTGCTATAACTGGCCCTGCTGCGTCAGAGGGGGTGAAGCAGCTGCTCTCTGAAGGTTTCTGCCACACTGAATGGTTGTGTGATTCTGTTTGCTGGGAGGGCTGGAGAGCCATGCTGGGGAGGAGAGTTGGTCAAGTGTGTGGTGGCACAGGGGCACTTCATCAGAGGCACGCACAGGGGAGCGTTACCAAATGAATTGTTTGAGCCAGTGATGGGCTTGTGTCACATTCTGGAAGACCTCCACATGTCAGCCTGTGTTGTTGCTGGTTGTGGTGGCATATTTGATGCCTGAGACCTCGAGGTCCTTATCCAACCCCCAATGGCCTGGCTTTGTGCTGTGTGAAGTTGGAAGAGCCTTGGTAGAAATAAGGAGGAGGAAAAGTCACAGTCTGGGATGCAGAAGAACTTTATTGAGGCAAAAGAATGAAGATATAAAAGCATAAGGTGGTAGAGAGCTGGTCTAGGGTGTGAGTAGGATGACCATTCACTGAGGTTCTCTGTTTGAAGCACATGTTGTCAGAGCACTGAGGTCTTCCTGTCCTGAACTGGGAGGAGCCCACTAAAGGTCCCCATAATCTTTCTTAGCTTGTGAGATGCTGGTTGTGACAGAGAGTACCTGACATAGCAGATGGAGTGATGAGGAGAAGGAATTGGAGGAAAAGGAGGAGGTCCGTGGGTGATGGTGACAGACAGCCTGGGCAGGCCCCTGCCCTGCTTGCTTTCTTGGTGCCTTGAGAGGAGGAGCTGTGGACAGCAGATATATGTATCAGGAATAGCCTGGACATGCATCCTCAATCGTTGCCATGGCTTCCATGGTGTGGGTGGCTGGTTTCATGCGTGTTGTCAATGGCCCTTAGCAGATGTTGCAGCCTCTTCCACCGCCGTAGCAGCCCAGGCCTCCAAAGCCGTAGTCCAGGCCTCCGAAGCCGTAGCCAAGGCCGTAGCCGAAGCCCCCAGAGGAGACGGGCACTCCCTGGGCGCTGAGGACGTTGCCCACGGCAGCGGATGAGGAGGATCCGACGGCGGTGCTCTGGGGGAAGGAGCTGAGGATGGGTCCTGGCAGGGTGACCAGCACGGTGGAAGGCTGGATGACGACGCGGGAGTCCTCGCACTGCCTGACACAGGGCTCGTTGCAGCTGTTGGCCAGCGGGGTGGGTCCGCAGGGGCGGCAGAGGTCGTAGCAGGCCATGTCTGTGGTGTGGAGGGGCCCTGGCAGAGGAGAGGAGAGAATGGAAGAGAGGGTGTGGGGAGAGCGGAGGGCGTGGGGGTGCAAGGGGTGGTGGTGCAGGAGGGCGAGGCAGTGGGGGGGCTGGTGTGGGGCTGTGGTGCTGGGGAGGCGTGAGGGGTGCTGAGGCTGGGGCAGAGCGTGCTGGAAGAGCCGGGGCAGGGGGGCAGGAGCAGAGGGCAAGGGGCTTGAGGCTCACCTTGTTGAGCGCGCAGGAGAAGGCGTCAGCAGAGGCGAGTGAGGGACAGAGGCACTGGGCCGGCTTTTATGCTGGTCCTGGAGTGCCCGAGGGGTCTGAGACAGTCTTTGTGCATGACAGCATGTTTGTTCAAGCAGCTGGTACATGTCAGATCCTCGCAAGCTACAAGTTATGGTTGTGTTTTCCTTCCAAGAATTCTGGAAGTTCATGTCCTCCTGTTGAGGACGTGTCCTTCTGGCCCTGGCGGCAGCTTTCAAGTATTAGAGACCGAAGGCTTGGTGTTGATGGTGCATGTCAGGGCATTTGGCAGAACATGCAACAAAAGTATTGGAGTGATGGGGGTGTCATCACTGATGTCATCCTGTGGCACTCATGGCTGTGGTTTGTGGGTGCTTTGTGAAGAGGGAGTCCCATGTCCTTGCAGGCTTGGGGCTGTGCTGGCTCTGAGAGGCTGCCCCTTCCATTGCATTAGGTTCCGCCCTGACTTGCTGCCAGGTCACTAATCCTGTCTGTAGGCCTGTCCTTTCCTGTTGGGTGAGCTCTAAGGGTGTCATGGTGCCTTTTTATGCTTGTAAGGTTGTACTTGTGATGGGTTCATGTCGGAAGTTTCTGTTAGATGATCCAAGATGCTTTCCCCATGTCTTGAAGAGCATGTTTGAAGAGCTCAGGTTGAGTAAGTTCATGGAGCGCTGTTTCCCTTGGAAAGGATTCCATGATGGAGGAGGGAAAGAGTGTGAGGTCCAAAGAGGATTAGCAACAATGTGTGTTGAACTGACTAGAACCTTCATTTCTCATCCCCATTTGCCCCATTGGTGTAGGACCTTGCACTTGGCATGGTTAAACCTCATGAGGCTGGCATCAGCCCACCTCACAAGTGTGTCGAGGTCCCTCTGGATGGCATTCCTTCCCTTCAGGGTATCAACCGAACCACACAGCTTGGTGTCATTGGCAAACTTGCTGAGGGCACACTCAATCCCACTGTCCATGTCAGCGACAAAGATGTTGAACAAGACCGGTCCCAGCACTGATCCCTGAGGGACACCACTCGTTACTGGTCTTCAAGAGGACATTGAGCCATTGACCACAACTCTTTGTGTGTGGCCATGCAGCCAGTTCTTTATCCACCGAGTGGTCCATCCATCAAATTCATGTCGCTCCAATTTAGAGACAAGGATGTCGTGTGGGACAGTGTCAAATGCTTTGCACAAGTCCAGGTAGATGACATCAACTGCTCTACCCCTGTCCATCAGGTCTGTAGCCCTATCATAAAAGGCCACCAAATTGGTCAGGCAGGATTTCCCCTTTGTGAAGCCATGCTGGATGTCACCAAGCACCTTGTTGATTTTCATGTGCCTTAGCATGCCTTCCAGGAGAATCTGCTCCAAGATTTTGCCAGGCACAGAGGTGAGACTGACTGGTCTGTACTTCCCCAGGTCATTTGTTTTCCCCTTCTTGAAAATGGGGGGTATATTTCCCTTTTTCCAGTCATCGGGAACTTCACCTGACTGCCATGACTTCTCAAATATGATGGCCAGCGGCTTCGCAACTTCTTCACCAGCTTCTTCAGGACCCGCAGATGAATCTCATCAGGACCCATGGACTTGTGTGCGTTCATATTTTTAAGATGGTTTTGAACCAGTTCCTCTCCTGCAGTGGGCGCAAGGTCTTCATTCTCACAGTCCCTGCCTCTGCCTTCCAAGACTTGGGTGGTGCGGTCAGAGCCTTTGCCAGTGAAGACTGAGGTAAAGAAGTCATTCAGAACCTCAGCCTTCTCCAAATCCTGTGTAGCCAGTTCTCCTGAGAGCTTCCTGAGCGGGCCTACATTCTCCCTAGTCTGTTTTTTATTTGCTATATACCTGTAGAATCCCTTCCTGTTATCTTTAATACCTCTAGCTAAGTTTAATTCTAACTGGGCCTTAGCTTTCCTAACCTGGTCCCTAGCTTCCCGGGCAACATCCCTGTACACTTCCCATGCCATGTGTCCTTGCTTCCACTTATTATAAGCCTCTTTTTTCATTTGCATTTTCCTCAGAAACACCTTATCCATCCAAGGAGGTCTCCTGGCCCTCCTGCTGCACTTCCTTCTGGTTGAGATGCAACATCGACCCACACCTGGGTCAGAGGTGGATCTCAGAGCAAGGAGGGTGGTGTCCTGGGCACACTGTATTTGTTACCTGTGGTCATCTCAGCAAGTGCGGACCAGGCCATGAGGTCCTGTGTGGGTGGCCCTGGGACTCCACCGGAAAGGTCTCATGAATCTGTGGTGACTCCATCAGAGGCATGAACAAGGGAGTGTTGCCATGTTCAAGACTGTCTTTGAGCCAGCGCTGGCTCAAACCTCTATCACCTTGTGAAAGCAGCCCAGGTGCCGGTCTTTGTTGGTTGTGGTGGTATATTTCCCAGGAGAATCCTTCTGCCCTTTTTCACCCACACTGACATCCTGTTAAGCCCTGCCTTTGTGCTGCATGAAGTTGGAACAGATTTGGTAGAAGAAAGGGTGAGGAGGTGTCGTAGACCTGTATGCAGAACTTTATAGAGGCAAAAGAGTGAAAAAGAACAAACATAATGTGGGGTCCTTGTAGCATGTGGGGATGGGGCCATGAGTCCCTGTGTTGGTGGCCCTGGAACCCTACATGAATAGTCTCATGAGCCTGGAGAGACATCACCGTAATGCTCAGGGGAGTGTTGTTATGCTTAAGAATTAGTTTGAGGCAGAGGTGGGCTTGTGTCACATTATGGAAGCACCCCAGGTGCCAGTCTTTGTTGGTTGTGGTGGCATATTTCCCGGGAGAGTCCTTGTAGCCTTTTTCACCCACACTGATGGCCTGTTGAGCCCTGGCTTTGTGCTGAGTGAAGCTGAAAGAGCCATGGTAGAATAAAAGCAGAGGAGGCATCAAAGGCTTGAATGCAGAAGTACTTTATTGAGGCAAAAGAGTGAAAAAGAAGAAACATAACATGGAAGAGAGCTGTCTCAGGTGCAAGGAGGGCGCCCACGAACTGAGGTCTTCTGTTTGCAACAGATTTTGTCAGAGCTTTGAGGTCTTCCTGACTTGGCTGGAGCGGAGCACACTGGAGGTCCCCCAATGAAATTTAGCCAGTGAGATGCATTTTTCAGCACACATTTCTGGACATAGCTGACAGGGTGATGCAAAGAAGGCACTTGAAGAAGAGGAAGAGATCCAAGGACCACGTTACCAGGCAGCCTGGTCTGTCCCCTTCCCTGCTTTCTTTGTGCTGTAAAAGAAAGCTGCGGAAGGTGTGTGGATGTCCTAGCATTCTCCCAGATGTGCATTCTCAATCCGTGTCCTTGCTTCTAGAATGTACGTGAGTGGTTTCAGGCATCTTGTGAGAGGCCCTTAGCAGATGTTGCAGCCTCTTCCTCTGCCGTAGCAGCCCAAGCCTCCAAAGCCATAGCCAAGGCCGTAGCCGAAGCCCCCAGAGGAGACGGGCACTCCCTGGGCGCTGAGGACGTTGCCCACGGCAGCGGATGAGGAGGATCCGACGGCGGTGCTCTGGGGGAAGGAGCTGAGGATGGGTCCTGGCAGGGTGACCAGCACGGCGGGAGGCTGGATGACGACGCGGGAGTCCTCGCACTGCCTGACACAGGGCTCGTTGCAGCTGTTGGCCAGCGGGGTGGGTCCGCAGGGGCGGCAGAGGTCGTAGCAGGCCATGTCTGTGGTGTGGAGGGGCCCTGGCAGAGGAGAGGAGAGAATGGAAGAGAGGTTGTGGGGAGAGCGGAGGGCGTGGGGGTGCAAGGGGTGGTGGTGCAGGAGGGCGAGGCAGTGGGGGGGCTGGTGTGGGGCTGTGGTGCTGGGGAGGCGTGAGGGGTGCTGAGGCTGGGGCAGAGCGTGCTGGAAGAGCCGGGGCAGGGGGGCAGGAGCAGAGGGCAAGGGGCTTGAGGCTCACCTTGTTGAGCGCGCAGGAGAAGGCGTCAGCAGAGGCGAGTGAGGGACAGAGGCACTGGGCCGGCTTTTATGCTGGTCCTGGAGTGCCCGAGGGGTCTGAGACAGTCTTTGTGCATGACAGCATGTTTGTTCAAGCAGCTGGTACATGTCAGATCCTCGCAAGCTACAAGTTATGGTTGTGTTTTCCTTCCAAGAATTCTGGAAGTTCATGTCCTCCTGTTGAGGACGTGTCCTTCTGGCCCTGGCGGCAGCTTTCAAGTATTAGAGACCGAAGGCTTGGTGTTGATGGTGCATGTCAGGGCATTTGGCAGAACATGCAACAAAAGTATTGGAGTGATGGGGGTGTCATCACTGATGTCATCCTGTGGCACTCATGGCTGTGGTTTGTGGGTGCTTTGTGAAGAGGGAGTCCCATGTCCTTGCAGGCTTGGGGCTGTGCTGGCTCTGAGAGGCTGCCCCTTCCATTGCATTAGGTTCCGCCCTGACTTGCTGCCAGGTCACTAATCCTGTCTGTAGGCCTGTCCTTTCCTGTTGGGTGAGCTCTAAGGGTGTCATGGTGCCTTTTTATGCTTGTAAGGTTGTACTTGTGATGGGTTCATGTCGGAAGTTTCTGTTAGATGATCCAAGATGCTTTCCCCATGTCTTGAAGAGCATGTTTGAAGAGCTCAGGTTGAGTAAGTTCATGGAGCGCTGTTTCCCTTGGAAAGGATTCCATGATGGAGGAGGGAAAGAGTGTGAGGTCCAAAGAGGATTAGCAACAATGTGTGTTGAACTGACTAGAACCTTCATTTCTCATCCCCATTTGCCCCATTGGTGTAGGACCTTGCACTTGGCATGGTTAAACCTCATGAGGCTGGCATCAGCCCACCTCACAAGTGTGTCGAGGTCCCTCTGGATGGCATTCCTTCCCTTCAGGGTATCAACCGAACCACACAGCTTGGTGTCATTGGCAAACTTGCTGAGGGCACACTCAATCCCACTGTCCATGTCAGCGACAAAGATGTTGAACAAGACCGGTCCCAGCACTGATCCCTGAGGGACACCACTCGTTACTGGTCTTCAAGAGGACATTGAGCCATTGACCACAACTCTTTGTGTGTGGCCATGCAGCCAGTTCTTTATCCACCGAGTGGTCCATCCATCAAATTCATGTCGCTCCAATTTAGAGACAAGGATGTCGTGTGGGACAGTGTCAAATGCTTTGCACAAGTCCAGGTAGATGACATCAACTGCTCTACCCCTGTCCATCAGGTCTGTAGCCCTATCATAAAAGGCCACCAAATTGGTCAGGCAGGATTTCCCCTTTGTGAAGCCATGCTGGATGTCACCAAGCACCTTGTTGATTTTCATGTGCCTTAGCATGCCTTCCAGGAGAATCTGCTCCAAGATTTTGCCAGGCACAGAGGTGAGACTGACTGGTCTGTACTTCCCCAGGTCATTTGTTTTCCCCTTCTTGAAAATGGGGGGTATATTTCCCTTTTTCCAGTCATCGGGAACTTCACCTGACTGCCATGACTTCTCAAATATGATGGCCAGCGGCTTCGCAACTTCTTCACCAGCTTCTTCAGGACCCGCAGATGAATCTCATCAGGACCCATGGACTTGTGTGCGTTCATATTTTTAAGATGGTTTTGAACCAGTTCCTCTCCTGCAGTGGGCGCAAGGTCTTCATTCTCACAGTCCCTGCCTCTGCCTTCCAAGACTTGGGTGGTGCGGTCAGAGCCTTTGCCAGTGAAGACTGAGGTAAAGAAGTCATTCAGAACCTCAGCCTTCTCCAAATCCTGTGTAGCCAGTTCTCCTGAGAGCTTCCTGAGCGGGCCTACATTCTCCCTAGTCTGTTTTTTATTTGCTATATACCTGTAGAATCCCTTCCTGTTATCTTTAATACCTCTAGCTAAGTTTAATTCTAACTGGGCCTTAGCTTTCCTAACCTGGTCCCTAGCTTCCCGGGCAACATCCCTGTACACTTCCCATGCCATGTGTCCTTGCTTCCACTTATTATAAGCCTCTTTTTTCATTTGCATTTTCCTCAGAAACACCTTATCCATCCAAGGAGGTCTCCTGGCCCTCCTGCTGCACTTCCTTCTGGTTGAGATGCAACATCGACCCACACCTGGGTCAGAGGTGGATCTCAGAGCAAGGAGGGTGGTGTCCTGGGCACACTGTATTTGTTACCTGTGGTCATCTCAGCAAGTGCGGACCAGGCCATGAGGTCCTGTGTGGGTGGCCCTGGGACTCCACCGGAAAGGTCTCATGAATCTGTGGTGACTCCATCAGAGGCATGAACAAGGGAGTGTTGCCATGTTCAAGACTGTCTTTGAGCCAGCGCTGGCTCAAACCTCTATCACCTTGTGAAAGCAGCCCAGGTGCCGGTCTTTGTTGGTTGTGGTGGTATATTTCCCAGGAGAATCCTTCTGCCCTTTTTCACCCACACTGACATCCTGTTAAGCCCTGCCTTTGTGCTGCATGAAGTTGGAACAGATTTGGTAGAAGAAAGGGTGAGGAGGTGTCGTAGACCTGTATGCAGAACTTTATAGAGGCAAAAGAGTGAAAAAGAACAAACATAATGTGGGGTCCTTGTAGCATGTGGGGATGGGGCCATGAGTCCCTGTGTTGGTGGCCCTGGAACCCTACATGAATAGTCTCATGAGCCTGGAGAGACATCACCGTAATGCTCAGGGGAGTGTTGTTATGCTTAAGAATTAGTTTGAGGCAGAGGTGGGCTTGTGTCACATTATGGAAGCACCCCAGGTGCCAGTCTTTGTTGGTTGTGGTGGCATATTTCCCGGGAGAGTCCTTGTAGCCTTTTTCACCCACACTGATGGCCTGTTGAGCCCTGGCTTTGTGCTGAGTGAAGCTGAAAGAGCCATGGTAGAATAAAAGCAGAGGAGGCATCAAAGGCTTGAATGCAGAAGTACTTTATTGAGGCAAAAGAGTGAAAAAGAAGAAACATAACATGGAAGAGAGCTGTCTCAGGTGCAAGGAGGGCGCCCACGAACTGAGGTCTTCTGTTTGCAACAGATTTTGTCAGAGCTTTGAGGTCTTCCTGACTTGGCTGGAGCGGAGCACACTGGAGGTCCCCCAATGAAATTTAGCCAGTGAGATGCATTTTTCAGCACACATTTCTGGACATAGCTGACAGGGTGATGCAAAGAAGGCACTTGAAGAAGAGGAAGAGATCCAAGGACCACGTTACCAGGCAGCCTGGTCTGTCCCCTTCCCTGCTTTCTTTGTGCTGTAAAAGAAAGCTGCGGAAGGTGTGTGGATGTCCTAGCATTCTCCCAGATGTGCATTCTCAATCCGTGTCCTTGCTTCTAGAATGTACGTGAGTGGTTTCAGGCATCTTGTGAGAGGCCCTTAGCAGATGTTGCAGCCTCTTCCTCTGCCGTAGCAGCCCAAGCCTCCAAAGCCATAGCCAAGGCCGTAGCCGAAGCCCCCAGAGGAGACGGGCACTCCCTGGGCGCTGAGGACGTTGCCCACGGCAGCGGATGAGGAGGATCCGACGGCGGTGCTCTGGGGGAAGGAGCTGAGGATGGGTCCTGGCAGGGTGACCAGCACGGCGGGAGGCTGGATGACGACGCGGGAGTCCTCGCACTGCCTGACACAGGGCTCGTTGCAGCTGTTGGCCAGCGGGGTGGGTCCGCAGGGGCGGCAGAGGTCGTAGCAGGCCATGTCTGTGGTGTGGAGGGGCCCTGGCAGGGGACAGGAGAGGAAGGGAGAGAGGGTGTGGGGAGAGCGGAGGACTTGGGGGTGCAAGGGGCGGTGGTGCAGGAGGGCGAGGCAGTGGGGAGGCTGGTGTGGGGCTGTGGTGCTGGGGAGGCGTGAGGGGTGCTGAGTCTGGGGCAGAGCGTGCTGGAAGAGCCGGGGCAGGGGGGCAGGAGCAGAGGGCAAGGGGCTTGAGGCTCACCTTGTTGAGCGCGCAGGAGAAGGCGTCAGCAGAGGCGAGTGAGGGACAGAGGCTCTGGGCCGGCTTTTATGCTGGTCCTGCAATGCCTGAGGGGCCTGAGACAGTCTTTGTGCATGACAGCATGTTTGTGCAAGCAGCTGGTGCATGTCAAATACGTGCAAGCAATTAGTTGTGGTTGTGTTTTCCTTCCTGCAATTCTGCAATTTCGTGTCATTCTGTTTAGAACGTGTCTACTTGGCCTTGAAGGCAGCTTTCAGGTAGAAGTATTTGAGGCCATGTTCTTGGTGTTGATGGGCGTGTTATGGCATTTGGCATGGCATGCAAGCAAAGCTTTGGTGAGGTGGGATGTCATCAGTGAGGTCATCCCGTGGCACTCATGTGGTATGGTTCGGAGATGCGTTGTGAAGAGGAACCCCCGTATCCTCGCTGCTCTGTCATGCTGGTGTGGGCTTTGGAGCTGTGCTGGCCATCAGGGGCTGCCCCTTCCATCGCATTCAGTCCCTCCACACCTTGCTGTCAGGTCGCTAATCCTGTCTTTAGACCTGTCCTCCCCTGTTGGGCGAGCTCTGTGCGTGTCTTGGTGCCCCTCTTGCTTGTGAGGTTGTAGGTGGTAGAAAGGATGGTGCCTCTACAGGGCTTCTGCCTTCTTGGTGCCCTTCCTGTGTGTTGTTTTGCAAGCAGTCATAAGAGGTTTGCTCTTGATAGCTGGCTGTGGTCCTGGTGGGCCTGGTTGAAGCTGGTGAGCCCTGTGATGGGGGGAGTTCTTCCAAGTACCCCGAATTCTTGTGTTTACCCTCTGTAACTCTCTACTTAAGCACCCAGGCTCCTATAGTGGGTGCAGTTCACTAGGTGGTGCGGC